CAGCTGCCTTGGAAAGGGCTGTGTGGACACAAAAATGGGGGGTGAGAACCCTGCCTGCAGATGGTCTCCGCAGAGGCGGGGTTGCACTGGGAGGCAGAAGGAATGGATATAATGTTCCAAGGCTATCCAGCTGTCTTTTTTTCCCCCTCCCTTCCTTGGAACATCTCCCTCTCCAGCCCTTTTCCCCCCACCTCTCCCACTCTCCTCTACCCTCCTCTCCTCTTCTTCTTGGCCTCTCACTCATTCTCCCTCTGCCTGTTGGACCCCAACCCATCAAGCCTTCCTGCTTCCGCTCTCCCAGCCCTCCGTCGGCCTCTTGCTCTCCGCCCTGCTTCTGTCCCTCTCCCGCTTCCTTTGCTGTTGGTTCTCTTTCAGTCTCTGTGTCCTCCTCTCTCTGGGTGGTTCTCCGCTTCGCTTCTCCTCTTCCCTTTTCTCTTCCTTAGTATCGGCTGTGCACTTGCTCTCTGATTCTGTGATCCCTGTGCAGCGGTGTGTCAGAGTGGGCGAGGCGGTGGGATGCACACTGGGGTGGGGGTGCTCAGTTGCTGCACGACTGCCTCTTCCCGGGAAGCTTGGTGGGCTGGGGTGGTAGGGGGAGGCTTGTCCTGAGGTTTACACCTGCTTTATTTTCAAAAGAGTGATTTCAGGAATTCCGTGAGGTCAGCAGAAATGTAGTCTAGAGGGTCTCAGACCATCCCCCTGCCCCCAGGTCCATTAGAAGGGATGGGGTCACTGGGAATGAATTCCTAGGTTAAGGAGGCAGGAAGCCAGGGATTGCAGGAGCAATTCCAAAATAAGGAGATCAGCACCACAAAGGCATAGCTTTCTTCTTCATCCTGGAAATATCCTCAGGTCATTTCAGGGAAAAGGGAAGTGTGATTCAAAAAGTGATAAAATAGCCATCTTATCCCTCAGCAACTACAACAGAACGCTCTGCCATGGCTGGTGTCTGGTGTTGAATACTAGGGTGTGTCTCTGAAACTCTCCTTTAACTTCCCATGTATGTACTGTGGATGCTGGGCTTCCCTGGTGGCTCAGATGGTAAAGAATCTGCCCGCAATGCGGGAGACCTGAGTTCAATCCCTGGGCCAGGAAGATCCCCTGGAGAAGGAAATGGTAACCCACTCCAGTATTCTTGCCTGGAGAATTCAATGGACAGAGGAGCCTGATGGCTGCAGTCCATGGGGTCACAGAGAGTCAGACATGACTGAGTGACTAATACTTTACTGTGGATGGTACTTCATCCCAGGTCCTAAGCTTGTGTTTTTCATGAAAAGTATTGATGGAATAAATAGTGGTTAGGCTTTTGGGTAACCATTTCAGCTTCCTCTTGGGTCCTCATTGCTTTGTCTTTGGCCATTGCAAGAACTGAGTGTTCCAAGTGGCCATTCGCATCACACAGGTGTCTGGGGCCGTTCTGGGGGAGAGCGCAGAGTGAACACTGCCCTGCTCAGTTAGAAGGAGAGGGGAGTGGGGATGGGTGGCTGTTGGTTGTTTTCCCTGTCTGCAGCTAGCCTGTTCCAAGTGGTCATTCTCATTAACTTTGTATTTCAGTTTTTCTTTTATTGTGAGTACAAGATCTTCTGGTCATATTAAATGTATGCACTGTGGTTCATCCTGATCCTGGAAAGTGAACATTGTCACAGCTCTGGAGTTTCTCTTCTTGTTACATCACATCATGAGCTCTTCAGAAGCTCCAGGAGTCCAAGACTCCTCTAGGCAGTGTGGGCTTGTCTGCTTTCCTTCAAAGCTCAATTGTGCTTTTATGTAGTGATGCCAAATAGGGGAAATGGAAAACAGGAAAGGGAAAATGGCTCACAAGCTTGACACTCCAGGTAGAATCATAAATACACATTCAAGGAACTGAAACACTGAAAGTAAAAGCAGTCCTTTATTTCCCCCACCCCCCGCGCCCCCACTGGTATTTCATGTCCCTCCTTGGAGCTCATGATTGGAGCGGTTACTTACACTTAGGTTAAAGGAAGCTATATGTACATAATTTCATTTCTTAATAGGTTAAATGACCATGTATTATCTGACATAGAAAAGATTACGTACATCACATCTAGATGTGCTCCTAAAGTAAAGAAACTTTGTCCCTGGGCTGTGATTTGGCAAGTCTTTCTTGGGTGTGGTAAGGAAGGGGCAAGGTGTTCTTTAGTTTCAGTGAGCAAGAATGTCTTGAAATCCCCACTAAGGCCTCCTTTTTGGTAAACTGCTGCTGAACACTTATAAAGCCCTGCTTGAGATGAATAAGGAGAATATTGGCGTTTTCAAACCCTTAACGCAGCAATGACTGTTGACATGAATGTTCTCTCTAGACCTCCTTACATTTAATGTCTTTCTTCCCCTTCTTATTTTGTAAGTACAATGAGGTTGATGCTCTAAACAGAAAAAGAATATGTGGGTATGTGAGTCTAAAATGTAACTATTTTTAACTGATGTGATTAGTCTGATACTTTACTGTACGATTTGTGAAATTTCTTATGAGGAAACTTTAATACTTCATTTTTCCTTTGCTGTGTTAACATCTTTATTCCTAAAAGATTTTATATTTTAATAGATTTCTCTAGAAATTAACTTTTTGATGTAGGTACAGTCTGTGAAAGATATTAACTTAGCGTTTACTCAGAATTGGCTTGTATAATTAAAATATAAAATTAACTTAAAAATTAAAGTTTCTGGCAATGCAAAAATAAGTAAGTATATAAATAAAACACCAAAGGATCCTAGTGTTTCACAATCTACATATTACCTTTCATTGTGTAGGAAAAGAACTGTTTCAAACCTACCCCTGCTCCCTACACAGCATGAGATACTTAGTGGTAAATAACTAGGGCTTCCCTGGTGGCTCCGATGGTAAAGAATCTGCCTGTAATGCAGGAGACCTGGGTTCGATCCCTGGGTCAGGAAAATCCCCTGGAAAAGGGAATGGCAACCCACCCCAGTATTCTTGCCCGGAGAATCCCATGGACAGAGGAGCCTGGCAGCATACAGTCCATGGGGTCGCAGAGTCCTACACAACTGAGCGACTAACACTTTCACTAACTAGGGAACCGTTTTATCCACAGATGGGTTTTAGATTAAATCACAGTGGGACTTTTTTGGTTTTTGTTTGAAACAGTGGCTTTGTCCCACTGCTTTTTTTTCCTCTGAAAAAGCACAGCGTATATTAAGAGTTCCTTTGTCACTTGCTTCCCCAGACCGTGGAAGACCAGACAGTGGAAAAATCCCATGTTCCATTTTCCGATGTTTTACATTTTCCCTTTAATTTTCTCTAAGCCCCCATCATCACTAAATGGTGTATCTTGTTGTCCTCCACTAAAATTTGAGAATATGTAATAAATTAAGGATGGTTCTACATTGCCTCTTATCTGACTAGCATCTGTGGGTGTCAGCTGCCAACAAGTAGCTCGGCTGTCTGGGCCGCTCCTGAATGCTCACAAGCTGACACGCTCTCTTCTGATAAAAGGTACCTTCAAATATGCATGTGCCTTTCAGTATAAATTTTGTATGCTTGAACACTTTGTGTAAGAGAATCACTCGACCTAATAAAGTGACTTGGCTGGGACTTTGAAAAAGCTGGGTATAAATAGCTCTAGAATTTATAGAACAAGCATAAATACTTCACTCTGAGCTTTGCTGAATATTTTCAGGATGTTTCTGAGCACATTTGTGAAATCAGAGCTTATCCCAGGAAAAGGGCCTGGGGGAGTGAGGAGTTAGTCACATAGGATCACCAGTCCTCCCAGGGAAGCTTCAAAGTAACGGCTACCCCTTAACATTTTCATGTTAAGGAGTAGGGTTTTATTTTCTTAGTTCTTGTCTAATCATCTACCCTAATTTTGTTGAAATGTGTACAGCCCTTACCTAAAAATCTACATGTCTCAGTTCAGACATACCTTGTTAAGACTGTCATGTTCAAACAGAACACATATGTTCTCCAGAGAGACAGTGTGTCTGTATGGGTGATAAGAACTGAAATCAAAGTATTGCTAGTCTTATATTTAATGGAAAATTTTATTCTCCTAATTGTGTTCAAGATGCTAAAAAAAAAAGTCTGTCTCTAATTTGACATTCGTAATGAGTGAAGTATTATTGCTTTAAAGCTACCATTGTAAAGGAAGATTAGTGTGTGGTGATGGTGGTGGTGTGGTGATGGTTTTGGTGGTGGTGAATGTGGGGATGATGGTGAAGGTGGTGAAGGTTGACCCTGAGACATGTCCTGCAGAATGCTGAAGCCCTTCTTCAAGGCCAGGAGGCGACTCTCCCCTTAAATGCACATTCTTTTTTATTTTGCAATACACAAAGCTCATGAAGAGAAAAGAATATATCATTTTCTTAATGCAGTTTTGCATTTGCTGTTTTATTCCACAGCTTTTAATTTTATAATGAGATTTTGATGCCAAGTTTTGTGTAAGCAATGAGCTGTCATTAATTGATTAGGATGCACTGTGTCAGTTTCTTTGTTCTCTCATCTTGCTTGTCTGCTGGATCAGAAAGTGGGATGGTTAACAAAGGAGTCACTGAGGTACAAGAGGGGTGTGTTCCAGACTAATTGGTGTGAATGCTACCTTTACAGTGCTGATAGAGTGTTCATTTTATCATCATTTTCCAATGTGTCTCTCTGGTGGTATCATCCGTCCCTCTACCTTCCCCTCTGTCTGTGAGCAGAGCTTGATAAACAGAAGAACAAATATGACTGCTTGCTTTGTCCTGATCTTAATTCCATAGTTTAAAGCAAATTCTTCGCTGTGGGCTCTGCATCTCTCCCACCATATGCTGAGATCTACTCAGGGCACTGTAAATCATTCGGAATTAGAAGCTATGCTCTGCATCTGACCTGCTGGCTCATGGACGCCCACATCCACTGCAGCTGGCAAACGGTGGTGGTTTATTTTGGGGCTGGTATATAAGAGGCTGTGTCCGAAGGCTGGGAGTGTCAGATAGGGACTGAGATTGTCTTGTAATGTGGCCTCAACTCTTGTCTCCTTGCCCAGACTGCACTCTCGAAGCTCAGCCCAAATATGTTAGAGGTGGGAAGCGTTATGGACGCAGATCTTTACCTGAATTTCAAGAATCCGTGGAGGAGTTTGCAGAGGTGACCGTCATTGAGCCACTCGATGAAGAAGCACAGCCTTCACACATCCCAGCCAGTGAGCGCAGCGAGGTAAGAAATTGGGCAGACACATCCATCTGGACCACAGGTGTGGAGACCTGTGGGTACCCACACGCTTGTAGTGCAAACGCAGGAGGACTGAGGGGTTTATGGCTTTTCTCAGCCACTTTTTTTCAACTATATGCTAATCTTATTACTTGCCTTTTGGGTATCTATAACTGCTTTTTCTATTGTTTATATGTTTCATCTCTGTTTCAGCTTTAGAAGAGCTGATGTTTCTGTGCATGTTTTATGTATATACAGTTTTTAATTCAGTTAATTTTATATTATCTGAGGTCTGCCACTTCTAGCTCTTCTTGGGAATATATCTCTCCTCCATGGCACTGTCATTTTTAGTTATGTAAAAAGCTAATCAGCTCCCTCCCTGCAAACTATAAAACAGCTGCAGTGACAGGTAAGATGTGAAAGCAGTTTTCAGGCATTTCAGGAGCCAGCATCTTATCTTTTGTGGTGGGGTAAAGCAGCTTTGCAACTTTGTCCTTGTCACAGGGCTCAGCAATTGCCAGTATTCTTACCAGTTCTGTCGCCCCCAGGCTCATCTGACTCCCCAGCAATCAGAGATCCCTCTGCTTACCTCATCTCCCTCTTTTCATTTTACATTTTGCTATAATCTACCAATAAAGAAGAAGCAGTGGCATTTTCTTTTTTTTTTCTTTATGGCTCATTTACCAGTGTCCCATTTATAGAACATAATTGAAAGTGCCATGCTGAGCAAGCTCTAAATATTTCTTGCAAATCCCAGCTTAGTCTGGGGATGCAGATATTTCAGATGCTCATATAAGCTGGAAAAGAGACAAAAGAGCCTCAACTTCCTTAAAGTCATCTGTAGATCATAGGTTAAGCAGGGAGCATGTGTTTGTTGCCATTTAACTTTGAAGTTCAGCCTGCTGATATCTATGAGAAGCTTGCTCCAATAATGTCCCCAGCAAGCAGATACCCGGCATCTTTCTAGAATACCCACAAACCCAAAGGTAACCAGAGAGAGTCCCAGTACTGAGCAGAAATGAGACCAACCCCAAGTGCTGCAATTTAGAAGACATGTGACTGGTCTGCTAACCAGAAGAGGATCCCACTGCTTTTTAGAATCAAGTGATACCTGTCCTTACAATAGAAGTGAAGGAGCAGTGGCAGAAATGGGAGTGAGAAGAGAGAAAGAAAAGCAACTAGAGGGGGTAAGACAAATAGAAACCACAAAAGTGGCATGAATAGTGTGGGTGAGAGGTGATGGCTAAAAACAGAAAGACCATGAGAAGCAATGAGGATGCTACTAAAACATCACAGCACTGGGGGCCCATGGGTCTGGGCAGAGACCTCTACCCATCTTGGGTCACTTTGAGAATTTAGATAGGGCCCTTTGCACAGTAAAACACAGATGCACACTCACAAGTGTTCCGTTTACTATTTCAGGTAAGCAAGTAATTTGCATACTTCAGTTCCTGCAGTGTTTGTAATATTTATCTTGCTGTCAGGAAGGGTGTCAAAATTACAACATTAAACCTGTTTCATAGCCCTAACTAGTGTGGAATGTATCTGAGACATTTCTCTGTGAAAAAAAATAATTGGTTAAAATGGGGCTCCACACTTGGGGGAAGATTTTCTTATTTGGAAAACACTTTTAAGTCTAGTATCTCCTTTCTCCAACTGTTTTCAGTACTGAGGAACTGTTATTTGGTGCTAAGAAATTAAATGGTTACTTATTTTTTTGTGAGGCGAGTTTCTAGTTACCACCTGGGGATACCCAGAAAGTTCTTGGGCCGAACTGATTTTGTTGCTGGCAGGATATTTCTTATGTCTTTATTTAATTTCAGCTACTGATTTCCAGTGAGATTTACTGTTTAAAAAGTGCAACTTTGGCTTTATGTGTAAATAAAGTTAAGGGTTAAGGCCATAGTCTGGGCAAAATTTTGCTGCTTATATCTTAGTACAAGGGTATATTGGGAGAATCATTTCACCCCTGATAAACTTCCGCTTCCCTAACTCCTCTAGAAACCTCTTAGGTGTGACCTTTCGACCCTATGTAGAAGCTTTGGTATAACAGCCCACCATCAGAGAGCAGCAGATAGAGGGCTGGAGAAAGTCATCTGTCTCTGTCTGCTCTCCCCAAGGAGTCTACTGACTTGACTTCGAGAGTCTGTTATAGCCCAACCAGCAAACCTGTAGCAAATCAGATAACACGTTTTTACCTCCCTCTTCATTTATTGCTAAAAGTGGACTCAGAGTTCATCCAGCTGCTTTCTTGTCTAAAAATGAAGTGTTTTGTGAACTGAATGGAGCCTGTTGGTTTTCAGATCGATTCATCACAATGTTTACAGCATGATGTGTGAGGTTTTTGATGTTCCTGTTGGCAGTGAGACGGGCCGGCCTCCGCCGCCTCACGCAGTAACCTTGGCTGTGGATCACATACACTGCCCTCACGATCTGCAGCCTAGTTTCGTCACCATTGAACTTAATTGCATCCGGTTGTGTCAAGGTGGCCCTCTGGTTTCCTGGCCAGTTTCTGTAGTCATTTCAGCAATCGAAAGCCACTCTGTTGGTCAACTCAGTTCATGCTCTGGGCAGCACTGCCTTGCTCTAGACACCCTTGTCTCTTCTACAGAAGCTATCTAGGGCTCCTCGGAGTACTGGGACATCTTCCCTATTCTAGAGTGGCCCTCAGGTGGGGAAGACAGGGAGGGCAATGTTCTCAATGATCTGTGGGATTTATTTATTCTTCCCTTACAAGTTCAATATCTGTCAGGAGGTCTTTTTTTTTTTTTTAATGCAAACAGCCAGATTGCAGATTTCTGCATGAATAAATGGGTTTTATTGCATCTCAAGCTACCAAATCACTTCTTTCCAAACTAAATTTTTTATTTTGTATTGAGGTATAGCTGATTAACAATGGAGTTAACAATGTAGTTTTAGGTGAACAGTGAAGGGACTCAGCCATACATATACATGTATCCATTCTCCCCTAAACCCCGCTCCCATCCAGACTGGCACATAAAATTGAACAGAGTTCCACGTACTATACATTAGGTCCCCCATTGGTTATCCATTCTAAATATAGCAGTGTGTACATGTTCTTCCCAAAGTCCCTAACTGTCCCTTCCCCATGGCAACCATAAATTGGTTTTCTAAGTCTGTGAGTCTCTTTCTGTTTTGTAAGTTCATTTGTATCATTTCTTTTTAGATTCCACCTGTAAGGGATGTCATAGGATAGTTCTCCTTCTCTGTCTGACTTACTTCACTCAGCATGACACTCTCCAGGTCCATCCATGTTGCTGCAAATGGCATTATTTCATCCGTTTTAATGGCCGAGTAATATTCCATTGTACATATGTACCACATCTTCTTTATCGTTTCCTCTGTTGATGGACATTTAGATTGCTTCTGTGTCTTGGCATTTTTAAACAGTGCTGCAATGAACATTGGGGTGTGTGTTTCCTTTCAGATGTTTTTCTCCAAATATATGCCCAGGGTTGGAATTGCTGGATCTTATGGCAGCTCTATTTTCAGTTTTTTAAGGAACCTCCAGACTGTTCTCATGGCTGTACCAATTTACATTCCCACCAACAGTGTAGGAGGCTTACCTTCTCTTCACACCCTCTCCAACATGTGTTGTTTGTGGATTTTTTGTTGATAGGCATTCCGTCAGCAGTTCTTTATTGTACTACTGGATTCTTTTTTCTTCCTCTATATTGCCTCTGGCCCTTTTGTCTCCTGCCCTTGGGTGTTAAGAATTTCTTCCTTGGGTGTGTTTGTTATCAGGGACTCATATTTCCATGTGGCTTTGCAGTATTAAAGGCAGGAGCAGGCTGGGTCTCCTGTGACATGACTATTTCATGAGGAGCAGTCAGATGGGGAGCTAGAGACAGGTCTGCTTGGTTTGGCTGTAGGTTTCTTTGACTCCTGGGCCCTGGCTCAGGGGTTCCTGGCTTGCCCTTAGACTGAAGCTTTTCCTGTCCTTAGACAAGCCTCACTTTTTCTTCTAAAGTGACTTGAGAGTTTTCTTTTTCTTTTTTTTGATGAAGACCACAGGACCCGAATCTGTTATCAGAAGTTCAATAATGAGGAAGTCTAGCTGTTATTACCTAACAGGAGAATAGTTTTCAGCTCTAGGATGAATCAAGTAATTATCCCCTTTATTTAAGGAGTTTGGAGAGGTGGGCAGTAGAATGGAATGGTGTCACAGTTCAGTTCAGTAGCTCAGTCATATCTGACTCTTTGTGACCCCATGGACTGCAGCATACCAGGCCTCTCTGTCCATCACCAACTCCTGGAGTTTACCCAAACTCATGTCCATTGAGTTGGTGATGCCATCCAACCAACTCATCTTCTGTCATCCCCTTATCCTCCTGCCCTCAATCTTTCCCAGCATCAGGGTCTTTTCAAATGAGTCAGCTCTTCACATCAGGTGGCCAAAGTATTGGAGTTTCAGCTTCAGCATCAGTCCTTCCAATGAACATNAGCCTTGACGTACTCCTTTTCCTATTTGGAACCAGTCTGTTGTCCCATGTCCAGGTCTAACTGTTGCTTCCTGACCTGCATACAGATTTCTCAAGAGGCAGGTCAGGTGGTCTGGTATTCCCATCTCTCAGAATTTTCCACAGTTTATTATGATCCACAGTCAAAGGCTTTGGCATAGTCAGTAAAGCTATGGTGTCACAAGTCACCTCTAAATGATAACCTCAGGGTGGCTTGTTTCCTTCTAGGAACTCATCCTATAGAGATATGTTAGCAAACAGTCTGAAGGGATAAACAATAATCCCTACCCTGTTTCCCTGGTGATTCAGATGGTAAAGAATCTACCTGCAATGCAGGAGAGCCGGGTTTAATCCTTGGGATGGGAAGATCCTCTGGAGAAGGAAATGGCAACCCACTCCAGTATTCTTGCCTGGAGAATTCCATCGACATGGGAGCCTAGTGGGGCCCCAGTCCATGATGTCGCAAAGAGTCAGATATGGCTGAGCAATGAACATAAACACACACATGCACACAGAGTTTCCCTC